AACGAATACCAAGATCAAGCCAAAAGAAGTTGTAGTGTTAGTCATTAGTTTTAACCCATAATATATCTTATTCTAGTTTTCGGACATTCCATTCTATTCATTCTACTTGAGTCATGTTTTGACCTTGTTAATTATTCGCTTATTAGCCTTGACTGTTTTTATATGAGCGTTTATGTGTGTACACTTGATGTCCCATGACTCATCACATGTCTATAGTTTATTTTGTCTGCCTATAAATATTGGGTAGTGCCCGGCTTGAAGTGGAGTTGGCTTCCCAGCCATCTTCCATACGTATCATTTTGCTTTGCTATGATTCATTCGCTATATGTAAGAAATATATGTATTCTCAAGTCAATTCCCGTTATTCGACTTATTTAATTCCGTTATTGGATAACGCGATTTAAGTCGACGATGATATACGAGAAAAGGCGACAACAAACATTCGCACAATCTAAAATGGAGTCGAGAACCAACGGCCACTAAAAAGTACAAGTGGAATTAGCGGGCAGGAGTACAAACGTCCGACGTCACAACCCGCGGAAACGTAATGGAGAGTAATAGAGTAGTAATATGGCTGTCATTAGCACAGTTAAACAAAAGCACATTAAAGCAAGCACAGGTACAATTGGTTAGTAGTTGTTTTCATTAAACCAATCGCGTTCTCGTGATAAAAGTAAGTCACCAAAAGGTAACGACGTACATTTAAATTTATGATGAATTATAGAACAGTTATTTACCCGATTACTTGTTTTGATTTTGACGGGGGAGGGCGCGTGTCTAACCTACCTGAACGGCTATCCTTCAGTCCAAACCGTAGTTTGAATTCTACAGGAGATGATGCATTTCTCAGGCGTTTTCTTTATCCTTATTATATGCGCAGTCAGTACAGTTATGGCGATAAACCACACTTAGGAAAACAGGAACATGGTCACTGGAAAATCTAAGCAAACTTTCCCTCACTTCGAATCAGCACGTTGTGAGTCGCTATAGTGGTGTAATACACTTCTGAATCTTTCTTTGGCTCTGTGCTAGAGGGACCAAACTCAATATTATTTATAGATCATTCCAACTGCTACTTAGTTTGTATTTGTTGTTCAGCTTCTAGGGAAAATTACAACGAGAAAAGCACTTCATAGCAAGCAAGAAGACTCACGTACTACCCAAAAGCAGGTTACATGGAGAAAATAGTTCAACAGATATTGCAAGCAAAGTTAAAGTCTGAAAATCTGAAATCTGATCAGTCCAACGTCAGTCATTTGAAAGCCTAAAATAGAAAACATGAATCTTCAAGAACAGACAATATCACCTGGAATTGTTCTCGCTGAGTGACAGGATATTAAGAGATGGCTCGATAGTGGCATACGGTGCATTAAGTAAGCCGAACCACACCAAAGCGACCATATTACCAAGATATCATCAATACGCTCCTCGAGGCAACCTCCGTAAGTTAGCACACCAAACAGTGAACGTGCAGGTGAGCTTTCATCTTTTCTTACTACTACATGCTCTAATTTGGAATACCCTTCCAGCCGAAGTGATAACAGACCCCTCAGTCTATAGCTTTAAGCGACACTGAACTACAGTTCCTCTCTTAAACTAGCCTTTTCTGAAGCATGCCTCATGAATTGCAACAGTGACTATTTTGGTATAGACAGTAACTACTTTCCATCTCTACTGTTATCATTTTCGTTCAGTACTTACTGCTCTGTTTCCTAACAGACTATCAACTAAATAAATTATATACTTATTTTTGAAACAATCATCTCTTAGTATTTGAATCACTACTTGATTATACACTCATTCTTACCATATAATCTTCTGCCTAGTAATTTGATAGTTGCTGAAATTCAGAACCACTGCTGTATCTACATATCGCGCGTTATTTTTGAAGAAACAGTGGTATTTTTCTTCGCCGATTTAGTTTTAAAGTATTTACCGCTTATCGAGCATCGAAACTGTTGTATTTCATTTTGATCGAATTTATTTCAATCAAACTTATCATCAAGGGTATCGTTTTCTACTCCAAATTAATTTATCATATTGAAATGGTAGAAAAGATTTGTAGCTCAGGTAGATAATTTTGTGATGATGATGATGTCGTTCAGAATAAGAACCATCCAGCCCAGCGATCACAATTTCGTCAAAATACTTTATCATTTTCTTTTTGAGTACAGATACAAAAAGACACTGGTATTTTCCATGGTTAAGTAGTGTTGTTTTTATTCAAAAGGTTTTAAAACTTCTTTCATTTGTTTAAGCCGTCTTTTAGTCTTCAGTTACAGTAAAATATAAACCTCAGCTTTCTGTGCTCAGTGTCCTTCATCTTTAAAGTCTTAAAAACAGTTATTTCAGAGATTAGTACTTTGTTGTCCTCTCAATGTGATCACCAAACAATTTAATGGTGCAGGTAAAACATCCTTGTGGTAGGCCCACATGGTATTTCCCTGTCAAGAACGGAATGTAATATGACAGTTGCAATAAGAAGTATCACAACGTAAGCACCGGAATCACACCAGCTGCGTATGATAGGTGCTGCAAGCCACTATCACGTTGGTTTTGCAATGCATGCTGTTCTTCATAGTCTCTGAAGATTCTTGAGATGATTGAGCTGCTGAACAAAGCTAAGAAGGTGCTCTCAGATAAAAGGCCAGCAGCAGGTGAACAGTTTTCAGTTTATGAGAAAGCAGCGGGCGTTATCGTGAGTCCAAGATGGACCCCTATGGCGTAGCGAATGACAAACACACATGTAGGCATGGTTACTCAGGAATGCCACCTCTTAAAGGTTATCTTTACCTCTGCTGAAGAAGGAAATCTAATACTAGTACATTCACTCAAACCCACTGGATCAGGAATATGTGTCCGTGAGGATCTCAGCCTGCTTGATCGTATTAAAAGACGATCGGCACAAGTAGAAATAAGTGAGCACCACGGGAACTGTGAAAAGAACCATTTACTTAATGGTTTTCACATTGTGAAGTTTCAGAGCGAAACAATTTTCAAACCGCTTTCAGTGGTAAGGGAAAGGTGTGTTGTACAAATCGTCGCAGCTTACATAGTTAGATGTCGGGTCTCAGAGTAGTAGTGGACATACAAAACCCTGACATCTTTGCCACCTCAGAAACATGTGTAACATTAGAAGTGTATTATAATGAGATTCGGTTGCTTGGTTTTATCCAGTATGGCTGACAGACTAGCCTGTAGGGGTGGTGGGTTTGTCCAGTACACGAACAGTACCTTAACCAAATGGGTTGTCGAGACACTGACAAACGATCGAGCGACATATGGACTGATGCGCTGTAGTGTAAAATGCAAACGGAAAGACATTAAATTATTTGTAGTATACCGCAGTAGAAAACGTGAGATAGATGACTTCCTCCCAAGCAAACTTGAGCCCTGGTGCAATAGGAGTAAAAGCCTTTTGATAGGCAACTTTAATGCACCGTATATAAACTCGGCAAACTTAGAAGAACGGTCAGTAACAACGTTATTTGGTTGCAAATTGTTAGAAACTACAATTGTACTAAATTTATTACAGCACATTAGAGATCCTACACACGAAAAGTACCTTAGACATACGAATAACCTCCAAGTGACTGTCATGGAAAGCGGTACTTAGCGGAGTACACTAAGGCTGTCCTAGTTCCTTTACATTTTATACTGCATGTAAGTTATCTCCCAAATACAGTTGAGTCCCTAATGTTAATAAACGGTAACTGTGTGAAAATCTGGTTGGAAATTACAGGGGATGCAGATGCATGAGTACTTCAGACAGACTCAGATATTCTGGTTAGGTGATCTAAAGAGCGGCTGATAGCTATCAACGCGGCCAAGTATGTCTGCATGCGCTTCGGGGATATAAAGGTAAATAGGTACAACATAGGTGAAGTGCTTGTACTCGTGGTCACAAAGATCTTGAGGTAACTCTGAGTCATGATCTTACTACTCTAGCCCATAGCCTGGATGTTACAGCTAAATGGTCTATAAGCCTATGGGCTTTGCGATGGACACTTGCGAAGTTAGATACTACTATGTTTACCACAATATACACAACCTTAGTGAGAACTAAGCTTAAAGACTGCGTTCAGGCTGCAAGTCTGTGTTTAAAAGGTGACTCGTATATCCTAGAAGGAGTATAGACGGCAGCCACCCTTGCAATTCCAGAACTCCGGGCATTACCGTTGAAGATGACACTAGTATTCAGTGTTTGACAACTCATTTACCAGCAACACCTTCTAATATAATTCGTACCCACCAAGAGAAATCAAAAGACAGAGTCGAGGAGATCGGAAGAGTGTATTTAGCGATTACCAATATATCGGAATTCTCTGGTATAATCTGGCTAGCGACTGCGGTAGATGTTGAGCACAGCGTTACCATACGTGATCTGGTGCAGATGCATGACCGAGCACCTTCAGCTAGGTGAGTCCATTAAAACATGTTGTCAGCATCCAATGTCGAAAACTTACAGAGCTATTTATTTTGGGGATTTATTTACCGTTACACCATACAAACAGCGACTTGAACAGCTAGACTTCTATGCTCTGTCATATCCCAGATCAAGAGGTGATCTTATCTTCGTACTTAGAAATGATTTTAAATCCAGTATATTTTCTCGTTTTATTTCCACTAGATCGAAACATCTCAAAGTACAATTAGGTGAGTAGAAAAGCCAAAGCATACAGTCATCTATTCTTGGGATCAGTTACCCAAAGCAGTGATGTCTGCACCTTAAATTGACTCATTCAAGAGAAGACTAGACGTTCATGGAAGTATACTGGAAAATGAGTAACATAGGCCGTAGGCCTTCTGTACTTACTGTACAAATCTGAATCAAACGCATTCGCTCAACGAGACATTCAAATCCATAAACAACTATGGTAATGACTAGGATCAGTGTAATAAAATGACTGAACCATTGCATATCGAATTGTTTAGAAAATGAGCACGAAGAAAACAATTGGTTTATACAAGCCAGTGACAATTATATTGGATATTGCATAAGCGCGCAAAATACGCTTGATACGTCGGGCGCGATTTCCGATTGTAGGTGGTATTTGGTCATTTATTTTGGCTGTCGTTTGCACTGGTTTTTACCTGTTTGTGACCTTTTAAGGCATATTTTTAATCGAATAACTGTTTACTTTGATTGTTATCTGCACGCACCATTACAACATGAGCTGATATTTCACATTTTACTTTTTTCACTGCTCACCTATTTTATGAGACTTACATTTCACTCTCAGAGTAAGTTTGAGTTAATGTAGTTTTCATAGGAAACGGCTTGATTCCATACATTTGTTTTAGTATTTTCCTTGACACATGTTTTTATAATATAACCCCAGTTTTCCGTGGATGAATTTTCGGTGAGACTATAATTTATGGACGACCTTTGAGCTAAGCTAGACTGACATTAAGAGTGTTCACCTAATATTTATCACAAATTGAGGGTTCTAAACCTGTGTGAGAAATTAAAATTATGTTTTACAATTGACGATTAAGGTTAGGAATTAGATTTTAAGTTTTCATCACGAACTGACATCAGCTATGATGCCAGAACTATTTGACGAAATTGGATGAGTGAATATCGCGCCAATATCCGAGGCCTATTACATTATACCGTATTGTTTCGCCCATAAATTATAGTCTCGTCACTCTCTGACCATATGTTAGTTAACCTATTTTAACCCCATTTCTAACATTTCTGTTGCACCGGTTAATAATAACGAGACAAATCCGATTTTTCAAAGTTATTTACTGCACCTTATGTTTTGATTTACTTTGTTATGTCATAGAAGGATTTCAAACGTTTGCGTTGTTTTGTGCCAGCTTTGCATCAGGCCATAACATTTGTTAAACGCATGAAAATGACAAAAGCTTTGTTCATTCGTTCAAATGCAATATTTACTTTTGTTTTCAATTCAGTATTTTCTCAGGATATTCATGTTCGACATCATACGTTTTTGATTTGACGAAACCTGAGTCGTAAATGGTGCTCTTTACTCAATACACTAAAAGACCGTAATAAATCATGTATAAAGTACTTGAAGAACTAAGAACAGTTATTTGGCGAGATATAGATTTGTTCTTAGTTAGTATTCCAACCTTGTGCGTATATTTTGAAGTTTAGATTTCGATGACCACTGAACCATCTGACCTCAATCACTTCTTGTTATTTCCGGTGCTATGAACTTTTATTAGAGTACCAATACTACTAACAGTAGGTTGTGACTTCATACATTCATGATTTCTTACTTTTTCTGAGTAACAGAGACATATTTCTCTTTTCCACCTATTTTGACCGCATTTGATTTTCCTACCCTGATACTAATCGAGGGACTTTTTCTGACTAGTATTGTTGTAATAACAGTACATCATTTTTCAGGGTTTTCAAGTAAGAGTTAGGCGAAAAGAAATGACTAGGAACTCATTACCTGATTTCACATACACATGATGTACAAATGTTACGAAACAATAAGTACAAAAACAAACCTAAGTTTTAGATCTATTAGTTTTTCTACATTTATTACAGTATGGTCCTGATTATTTTGAAAATGACCTGTTTTACCCATATTTAGCACTAGTTATTTAAGTGTGATCAGTTCGATATTTACTTCGAATGAATTTATTTAAATTACACATAACACGTAGTTTTCCTAGCTAACCGTCGATTTTTTACGTAAGTCTTTACCCCTGGCCGGTCCTCAAATCACCTTTTGCTGGCATTTTTATACTACTTGGAGTTTGTTAGTAGTTTGAGAATTTCAACCTAAGACAGTTTTTACAGCCACTCAACAGCCATTGAGTGATGTGTCTACTTCCGATTGCGTTCAAACTATTGTTTTGCATCATCCTTTGTAAACCACTCAAAACCTGTGAAAGAATTACTCTTAGTAAGGCTGGCTTTCGTTCTGTTTGTGAATGTATTGATAATTTCTTCACTCTCCAACAAATGTTAGAATACGGCCGTACGTAATTCAGACCGGCCATCGCTGCTTCTTAGTATAATAACCATCTTCAATCCGTTGATTACGGCTGTGCTCTGGGATTCGCTGTTGGAGAAGAGTGCATCTGATAAGTATATTAGCATCTACAAGGTTATTTTTTGCAAAAACGGGCAATGTGAGAGCAAACAATCACCTCACTTCATTATTTAATCATAGCAGTGTAGTTATGCATGGTCGCACAATGTTATCATTCCTCCTTAACTTTTTATCTATGACATTTCGGGAGTAGCTCTGATGGAAGTAGGTAGTGGTGATGTGGATCATTTGCCTGAAGACAAATTTTCTTGAATACTCGGATGATATTACTTCACTGTGCTCTAATACTCAAGTTATACAAGTTGCACTTAATCAGTTGGAGAAAAGTCTCTGTAGGTATGATATGTACTCTGAACCTTCTAAGTGCGAAATAATCTTACAAGACTGAAAGTAGCCTCTTCTTATACTCACTCTTGGTGGTGAGCCGTCGAGAGTAGTCTTAAGGTTCGCGTATTTGAATAGCTATGTGTGCTGGTGATGGCGTAAGTGATGAGACCAATTTACGTATAGTAAAACCCAGGACAGCCATGTCAGTCCCGGCCATTTTCGGCGCCTTCATGATGTTAGTTTAGCTATAAAAGTCTGAGCCTGCAAAGTGTCAGTGAGAATAATTTGTTCTATGCTTGCGAATCAGCGTCTCCGAGTTGATAATCTTCAACAACTCTGTGTCCGATCATCATTCCAAAGAAATACCGATGTTCAGTCCCAACACTATTAGTAATATGGCGATTCGACAGTGTATGTTTGGGCACAGTGACGACAACTTACTTGGTGTCATCATTTTGAAGTACCGGCTTTGGTGATTTGGACATGTTATGCAAGTGTCATTGCAACCACTTTCATATCGTGCACTTTTTGTCTAGAGATATGTAGGAAAGCTGTGTATTACTTGTATCTGTCAATACATCATGTTCCCTTACTTGAAGTCCTAGAGATATTAGAACTTTGTAGTTTAAGACATTGACATGATAGAATTCAGTGGAAGTCTCGCTATAATTTCTTTTTACATTCTTTATAAAAGCGAGAAGAACCTCTTTTAATTAATTGACTCTGATTATATTTTTAAAAAATGAATTATTTCTCCCATTATGTAATATTTCATTAGCGATGGAGTAGGTGGATCCATTCTTTGTCTTCCAAATTCTGGGCCTCTGAATTACTCATAACTTTTCTGTGTTTACGTTTCGTTAATTCATATTTTCTTGAATCGTATCTTTGATGCCTAATCTTTTCGATCACCTTTGATACTGTTACTACTTCTATTCTGGGATTCGGTCTGACAATTCCATCTACGACATCTCTGCTAATAGGGTATGCCAACTTGGACCAATGTACATACATACCAGGTTCTGCGTTATGACTGACTGACTTTCAGTCACTTATTTTTACTCATCTAATTATTTTTGATTATATTGACACTCCATCTATCTCTTTACAGTTTCACTCACTCATTTGTGCAACGTATATTTATCGTGCTGGTCATTTTAATTGATATTTATGTTCAAATAAATAAGTAATTATGGTGACAAAATATGATTTCACAATAGCATGTTAAATTATTGTACTATGCCATACACCAAGGTAGTCAAAAATAAATTAATGTGTAAAGATTTGTAAGAATCCTAGTAATATCAGCAAAAGCAGCTCGACATTTGATAAAGGAGCATTGCGTGGAAAACCCACTAAGTAAAAATGGAATCAGGAATGTCCCTTGCTACAAAATCCCCGTTACATTTTATATTATTGATTAGCGAATCCTACTATCGACTAGATCCCAACCAAAAAACAAATCTGGTCTCATAAGTTAAATACTTAGTAACAGTATTGTTGTTATAATCATTTTGTTTTATCTTATATTGTACTAGACACGAGGTTTACATATATCGTTATCATGCCGGTGTCGCGTAGTCGCTGAATTTTGCGTGGATTCATAATGAGCTTTACACGTTTTATTTGATCATATCTCTTTGACTTGCATATTTGTACGGTGACTTAAATTGAAAGTATCTAGGGTTATTCAGTCAGCTACAACGTAGGACCAGGCACATATATGCATCGGTCCAAGTTTCCATACCTCATTAACACAACAAGATAGACACCGGATCCATAAAAGTAGTTAATTCAGAGGTGGTAATATATAAAAGAAAGATTGTGCATAAGGATATACTACAGGAAGAAAGAATTAGTTCGTAGAAAGAAAGATATGAAGCGATTTTAATCTCTTAGTTTAAGGGAAGACAGGGAGTGTATACGCCGACGCCATTGTGATCGATTTTGAGCCATGTCACCAAGAGTCTCCAACCATTGGTTACGATAGTCACGCAGACCCCAACCAAGTAGTCTGCATCTACCAACATGGCTCACATCAAAAGTTAGTGACTTCAAGCACTGATGCCACGTTTTGGTTTGGCCGCCCCTAACTTTCTTCCAACCATCCTCAACACTGGCCAGAATTTCGCATCGTGGTAGTTGGTGGTTGGGTATGAGCAATACGTGGCCCAAACATCTCAGTCGATAAAGATTCACAACCTCATCAACTGATTTACCATCATTCCCTAATACCCTGCGTCTAACCTCACTATTACTTACCCAGTGATCCCAGCAGACGCCAGCAATATTTCTAAGGCATCTGTGGTCAAATACTAGTAGCTTACGAGTGTCTTCTACTCTTAATGGCCATGTTTCTTTTCCGTAAATTTAAACAGAACGAACTACCGCGCAGTATACTCGTCCTTTTATTGATAGACGGATATCTCACCTTCGCCACAGTGACGTAAGTTGGCAAAAGTCAAGCGAGCTTTTCGAATCCGTGCTGAGATTTCGTCAGACACCAACCCGTTTGTGTTGATCAGACTTCCAAGATAAGTGAAGTTGTCAACGCGTTCGACTACTTCAATCGCTATCCTTAGTTCAGGTATTGACGCAGAACAGTCCTGAAGCAACAACTTGCATTTAAAAGGAGAGAAGCGCATTCCAAACATTCTGGCATTGTTGCTTAGTGCTACTAAAAGACTGCATTTTGTCAGCGTCGTCACCAAACAGGACTATATCACCTGCGTATTGTAAGTCGATAAGTGGACCTCCTGGAAGGAGATCAGTACCCGAGAATCCAGTCGACGAGAATGTTATTTCCATCAATAGGTCTATGATGAAGTAAAACAAAAATGGAGAAAGTGGACAACCTTGACGGACACCACTTGAGGTTGCAAAAGCAGATGACAGTTCACCATAAGCTCTGACTCGACTGGTAGTGTTCGAGTAAAGAGCCTCCACAAGGTTTATGTACTCCTGAGGTACGCCTTTCAATGACAGACACTGCCACAGAATCTCGCGGTTTACCGAGTCTAGGGGTATTGTGACTAATAAATTGTACTATTACCAAGCGGATAACGTTTTGTAATAAATTTTCCTACTGTTCATCTACTTATCTAACTCCACTCTTTTTAGTTACTTAAGTTTTCTATCTTATAGTATTTTGCATGACTCGTTACTCACTTAGATAATACGATTATGGGAAAATAATTGTCAGATCTATGCCGATGTATGGTGGTTCAGTATGTTTCAGTCGATCTGATCACACAGTTTTTAGAATCTTTGTCTTATCATTGCGTTATTCTAAATTTATTGAAGAGATGGATTATTTTTAATTCTTGTTTCATTGTTTTATTTTACACCAAGTTTTGTCTCTAGATAAATTGATAGTTTACTTAATATCAACTACATCATATACTCATTCATTATAAGGCTACATCTATATCTTTTCACCCTCAAACTTCTATTTTTAGATTAAATTTCAAAGATGTCATCTGCGCCTATTTGTGATCGTGTTAATACATATGCTAATAAAAGCAGAGTTATACCTGGTTATGAGGGGATACCATACAATTTATGTGTTAACGTTATCGGTTGGGTGGTATGTCGCTCATTTAAATTTTCATCAAAGGCAAATCTAGGTCCTAATGTGCGGATTTACACTATTAAGAAAACTTGCATGGGACTATGGGCGTATGGCTACATTTCAACCTAGGAAAAATAGGTTTGTACAAGATGGTTTCCACTTTATATTATTGTTGCAATTAATAAAATGTCCTACTTCTTTATAACAGTGAATTAACGTTTCTAAATGATATGAATTTATAATAAATATTCTTTTTCCAAATATTTGCTATCTAGTTTGTCGGCGAAATCATTCTAACTTTAATCCGAAGGGTAGTAAAATATTGACTGGAGAATGTTCTTTACTTAGTGATTGTATTGATAATTCTTCATTTTTTTCTTATCAACAAAATTTCTTTGATTTTGCTTCTGAGTAGTTAACTTGTACTGTAGTAATGGTGATTCATAATAAAATTGAACAATCATCATATATATATATATAGGGCGTTTAAAAATTGTTTATCCGTTTCCAAGTTTTTAGACACTCCACATTAGCAGCCCTAGTAAGGTAATTAACAGCATAAGGAGTACGATGAAATGACAGTATCTGGTGTCGTGGAAAGTTAAATACAGAAAATAAGGTACCAATGAGACAAATGAGATCAAAGTTTAGAAATGACAGTAGTCAAAATTTAGAGTAAGATTAAGAATAAATACAAATGTCCCACTGTGGCTTATTTTAACCCTCTAGTTTTTGACCATACATTACAATGTTCATTGTAATCTCAACTACTAAGTCCATACTATCCACTCACACATGGGTCAAAAAATTTTAAACTTGAGGAGAATCACTGCCATTCGTTGTTATTTTGTTTTTAATACTTCTCTCACTGATGTCAGTTTGTAGTCAGTCATTATCAACCTAAAAACGCATAAATTTACGTTAGTCCACATTAATACGATTGGATGAAACTGGCACGACGAATATCAAAGGAATCGGGACAATCTAATAGCGATGCTGATGAGAAAGACCAGACATTGAGAATATGGTTCAAGAGGACAATGAAAGTGTATGTATGATGAATTACAGTAACTGGAGATCTGCAGTAAGATAAAGAGTTAATCCGTTTACTACTACTTGTTCTGACCCATATCACACAAAGGGTCTTACCATCAATTGTGGTTATCGCACGAGCCTTAACTAGGTAATGTGTATTTACTAACATGACAGACCAACAGTCAATGACTTCATAGGCTGTTTTTTTGGTTTAGCCACTTCCAGATTCTTTCAACTCACTTCCCATCCTATAAGGCGGCCTGCTTGAGCATCTGGGCTACCTGTTCCTGCCATCTAGATATTTCGACAAGTTATCTATCTTTGTTTGTTTTAATATATCATTATGTCTATTAATCGCACAACCTATTCTGCTGCGTTTCTGAAAAGTGTACAACCTTTCGTTGTCAAAGTTACAAAAAGCTCAAAAAGAGAGAATATTGTTGCTGGCAATATACAACGAAAAGAATGTACATTATTCAGATATTCATTTACTGGACTGTTAACATCTAGCTGGCGATCACTCAGTATTTATCGCGAGGACCGACCAAGAAGAAAGAAACGGAAACTTGTTGAAATACTTTGTGCTGAGAATTCTATATTGTACCAATAATATAATATTGAATAAAGCTAATAATAATAATAAAATAATAATAAATACATTATCTAACATCCCCCATTTAGGTAGGCGGCGATCAGACATACGTGATACACGTCTTAGCCACTTCAGTTGAAGATTCACAGCCGTATCAATTGATTTGTCATATTTACCTAGTATTCTATACCTAACCTCAATATTGCGAATTCGGTCGTTCCACACGACGCGACCATTAGTTCTAAGGCACTGATTACCGTAACCCATAGCTTACGTATGCGCATGCTTTCAACTTTCGTAGACTATATTTCACTCAATACATACTAGTAGAAAATCACTTTTAAATCTAAAAAAACAACTTTCCATCCAATCTGCCTTATTCATTTTTTTTTTCATTTTAGGTGGACTCTATTTTCAGAAATAAATGATGAAAATGTCAGTACTGACAATGCTTCCATTGATAGTGTAGAACAAACTCCATCTACTAATGATCCTGTAAGCTCTTGTGTTCTAATTACTGTCAAACGTTAATTATTAAGTACAGAATTGTTTTTCACACTTTTTTACTACTTAGTTTTCATTTCTTTCTATCTTTCTTTGTAGGGTTATTTTTCATGGATTGTTAGTTATTTCAAGTTAACGTAAGTTACTTAACAAATTTTTTGTGCATTTGCAAATATTTATATATGTATAGATTCTTTCAATGGTTTTCTTATATATTCTTCTCTAAATCTGTTAATTAATGATATATCAATTGTCATAAGTTGATTTTCATGTCTATAAATGAGATCATTATTTGTTCACAATGCTTCAGGTTCACTCTTTGCCTTTCCTTAGATCCTGAATTCTGAAATCTTTTTATTTTCCTCTTCTGTTTGCATCTTATCTTTTCTACTATTACTGATGCTATTAAGACTTGTACTATTCTTGAATCTGTGTTGTTAATTTAATCTTACTGTGATAATATGGTATGGTAAATTGAACTGATGCATATATGTCTCATATTCTATATTACACATAACTGACTAACTTACTGTGTCAATTGTTTTGAGTTCCAGTGGTTGAACTTGACAGAAAGCTCCATATCCACATTGCGTAATGAATGACATTCTTCTCAAGGTATACTTGCAATCCCAATGAAATTGGTCTTCCTCATAAAATTAGAAACAGATAGTTTCATAGTGAAAAACGCTGTTACTGAAATCTCTAATCACTACGATTCTTTGCGTCATCTAGCTATTTTTTGTAGTTAAGATAATCAAAAACTGTTTCTTGTGTGATGATAACAATAATTTTTTACAAATAATATTTTTAACCTCCCCAGTGCCATTCACCATTGCACATTGAGGTAGGTGGTCATTGGGTATACATAACACATTCCAACTGCCTCAGTTGGTGGAGATTCACAGTCTCAACAACCAGTTTATCTCTTCATATTACTCTATCCGTAACCTAAAGAGTGTTTATTTACTCAGTCATTCTACAATGCTCAAGGTATGCTTCGAAGTGACTTATGTTTAGAAACTCACTAACACATAACTTCTGTCTCGATGGACCGTGTTTCACAGCTGTGAATCAACACAAAGTGAACTTCTGTGAAGTGTTTTCAGCCCTTTGTTGACAGATGGGTGTTTTTTTTAAGTCACGAGTGATGCATGACGAAAAAGCTGACAGGGTTTCCTGAATTCCTGCAGAGATTTTGTCTGGCACTTCCATGTGGCCAACGCTCTCAACTACGACACTACCTATGCTCATATATATTAGGCTCTGCGTTACTTATGACTAACTGACTAATCATATGACTAAGTAAAATAATAACTATTATTATTTATTTTGCTATATGTGATTTAGTTCTTATTTATTGGTTGTTTTTTACACCGTTTTTTCCACAGTATTTTTGAATAGATTTTTTCTATGCATGTATTGTATTTTAAGAATTACTGTTATTTAACGAAAGTGGTTATATGAATGCTTTTCGATTGAATTCATGAATAACGACTATGAGAATGGTTATTGTTGACTCCTCATTAACAATCTCAAATGTTGTCTAGAAAGTTAGATTATTTGTGATTAGCATTCTACTTGGTTGTCAAACTGAACACAAACACAATGTATAGTACAACAGATTCATTCACTCATCTGATTGATTCATAATTTCATTTTACTTGTTTTGGCGTAGGCGACCAGAACTTGTGATTAATCAGTCATCCTAGAAAAAGTATCTGGCTAAATGCGTACAAAGTTGTGTTGCGTAGGTTAATTAAATGGGTTTATGTTTTTTGAAATATATATCCATGTATTCTGATCGTTTGATCGTTAATAAGTCTGATCAAAGAATTAAGTTTAACTAAACATTTATCGTCAATAATAATATATATATATATATATATATATATATATATATATATATATATATATATGCTGTATAGTATACGAACAGTGTTATTTTACTCAACAATCTAATCCTATTAATTTTATATTGTTTTTTACTCAAATTGATGTATTCGCTGTGCTAAAATGATTATATTATTAAGTAAATATGAATAGATTGCTTCATGGTAATTCTCATCATGAACTGTAGTCATCAACACTAGAATCGTTTAAAACCAAATGGGACTACATCTTTCAGTATTGTACACCGATCAGTCTGCACGAAAATGACCTATCACCTTGATGTATCACGGTAGGGACGAAACCATTGAGATAATGTATGAGAACAGATGACGTAAGAGGTATGAAAGTGGTTGTTACTTCCCGGTCGCCTGCACCACGGGACGATACTTCCTGAGGTACCTGAAACGGAAACCGGTTTACGGGTGATCCTGACTATCCGAAGGTATAACTTTATTCCTCAAGGGAATACTGCTTCAGGCCGGTCTAAAATTCCAAATCCATTTGACTAGCAATGCGTATCACACAATCATTCAGCTAATCACAATTTGTAGTCAAAAAGTATTTTCAATTTATCAAAATCTTCATATAAATATCTATTTGACATGCAGGATGCTAGTCACAGACAAAACAAAGTATAATATTAGTCAATAAAGTCATTGATTATTAATCTCAACTGTTCTGATAGATGTAAACTTTCTGGTTGTGTAGTAACTGCAGTCTGTGTTTGGTGTATTTTTATCGACGTAGTTCAAGTTCGATCACACTGAGATCTGTTTATTTATTCTTCATCTTATAAATTTTTCTACTTACTGGGACACTATACTTTTCTTCCTTTGGTCGTATTTCTTACTCTTGCACTGTATCTTTTTATGTTCATCTCACTTATTGTAGTCAGTGTTATAATTTTATTCCTCTAATTTCAGATCTCGAGCTAGTTTAATGTGTAGTAACTTCCACCAACACAGATTTATGCTAGATTGCTTACATAGTCTTTGTTGGACAAACTGAGAGTATGTTGAATGCATCTTGCTTTTATATAAGAGGAATAATAGGATGATAGGATGATAACATTTTTTGTATTCATACAATACCCGATTGCATGCATTTTGAACATAATTTCTCTGAGATAGACGTTTCAACATCAGTTCAAATAAAGGTTGTTGGGGATGTTAGATCCCCAGAACTCATGTGGTGAATGCCTTAATTTCGTAATTTTATTTTGAAAATTTGAATTTCCTTGTTTTCGCACCAAAAACTCTCTTTTCACCATCATGTCGTATTTCCTACTTGGGAAAATCTTTAACACTATTGGTCCGTTGTGTATTTTAGTATGCTCTTTTATAACACTTTCCAAGGACAGTTTTATGCTGTATATATATGTTTGATTTGTGTCTGTTGTTATCGCTCGCTCGTGCTTCTAGCTTTTGTGGAATATACTTCTCCGTTCGGACTTCGACTTCTCTCTCTAGTTAGTGGGGCTGGGACGCAATAGAATAGCTAGTTTATTGGTCTTTGGTCACAAGTCTTTTTCCCGTTCACAATCTAAATGAACTCGTAACCGCTTCAAACTTAGCAAAGGTATTACAAATTTCCTTTGAGTATATTACGCTCATGTTATGGTACTCATAAAAATTAGATCCAATCATCAGAAATAATATCACTACTATATGTTTGATCGATAATACACATATATAATTGATCATTAAACTTCTGTTATTGTCAATACATTAGTGTAGTGAAGCGTAAACAGATGTACACTTTACATTCCCCCCAAAATGCATGTAAAGTAATGGAATACAGATATATTTAGATCAACAAATATTATGCTGATGATAAATCATTATTGATTTTCCGACATTTCTGTTTACTTAATCATATACTTATTCTTATGATAATACAATATTATCTGATTTTATGGATCTATTACATATAGCACAAATAGTGAATATGCTCTTTTTAAATTGATTGTTAAAAAATGACATCTCGTTTTATACTGTTAGCTATAACATACACTACTGATTAACACATGATATGTTCTTTTCGATACTTGGAATGGGCTCCTTTCTACCCTTCATCTAATTAGTTACTTACTCTCTAATTTGTTATATTCTTTTTCAAATATAAAAAGATTTCCATTGTGATAATTAGAACAATATATAAATAAGCAAATAATATTGTTTCCAATTAGATCTTTATCTTAGATTTTAATAAATATTTGTATGTATATATGAACTTATTAAACCAATGAAGGTAATTTGTAAGTTAATGATAGTAATGAAATAGATGACATTACTAAACATAGTTAGTGAAAAAGTTTGAACTTCCTTCGTTGAAACATTGATTCAAAATTTTGTCATTCTTATTATCATTAATGATAATAATACTCACTGCCTTCCCGTGGCGAGGATGTTTTTTTACGAAATTCAGAGGATAAAAAGCGAATGTCCGGCGCTTTAACCGGGTTGGTGGACATGGAGAGTCTACCTAGGGGAGTTGGAAAACACTGATTCCAAACCAATGGTGAACATGGGCTCCAGTACCCTGAGGGAACAAATGGCGTATGAACCAATTATTGGTCACCGGATACTATGGGAATGCATCTCCTTACGATGCTTCACTGCCTTGTGGATCAGCCCTTCAGGTCGAAGGCTCCGGGTGCGGCCCCTAAGAAAACCATCTACTTCGGTTTGGGCACCCGGGCAGTATCACAGCCCTCACACATATCAAATGAGATCTGTGTGGTGCATATGTATTTGATGCCTCCTTGTACCAAAATCTATGTGTTAAAATAAAATAAATAAAAAATAAATATTATTATTACTACTTGTTTAATCTTACTATCAACTTACATTTTTTAGTTAATATGTTTATTTATGTAACCGATTTCATTAATACTATTGATTAATTAACTGCGTAAGCAAGATATCTGTCTGTTAACCAAAAGACGAGTTCACTGTGTAACAATTTGCTCTGTTTTACTTTCTGAGTGTTAAACGTAGCCATTAAGAATAGACGATATCCAAAGATCATTAGTATTCGACATATGCGTCTTCGAAGTATTGCTTGTATATTTTTTGAGACCACAGAGGGAGTGATGTCGAGGTTTGCCATAGGGTACTAGTTAAATATGGCAGATCAACTGATGAGGTAGTAAACTTTCCTATATCCAACTACTGCTTACCTCGACGGGTGATACTGTCTAGTATAGAAGTAATTTGGGGAAACGAGGATTCACTCAAACCAAGATGTAGCACATGTGCATAAATTCACTGGTAATTAGTCTGAGCCGTGTAGGTAGATGTAGACTATCTGATTGGGGTCAGGGTGATTATCGTAACTAATGGCTAGAGACTTTAGATGACAAAGCTCAGAATCGTTCTCAATGGTATAGGTGTATTCACTCCATATCTTTTCATAGATCATGGGTCTCAAAATCTCATACTTTCTTTTCTTTCTACGTGTGAATTTCTCTATTAACACCGATATTGTTATCACTTCTGCTACTCCTGAATTTGTCTTGATAGTTTTATCCCACTTTGCTAATTTCGTACGGCAACGTAAATCAATGCGCATATGTGCCTTCTACGTTGCGTATGGCTGACTGACCGAAAAATCCTTGATTGGTTTAAGATATACTTAGTGCATGCATATAAACATCATTGTACATTAGAGTAAAGCCTGGTAAGTATCCAACGAGAAACAATATTTTCCGAATATATATATATATATATATATATATTATATATAATCTGCACCTACCATCATGACTCTAATCATCAGTCGATAACTTGGCTGAACCCATGTCCTGGTTTAAATGCCTCTCGGTTTCTTCCAATTTATTCCTACACAATCTAAACTCGTTCATCGAGGTAGATGGTGGTTGAATATACATAATACAAACTCATTTGGTGAGGATTCGATAGAGTAAACACCTTTCAAATGTGAAATCAGTTTCAGTATCCTTAATTTTTTAATGAAAATAATAAATCCGTACACATTCCTTTCGTAAAATAGCGTTAAGCTAAGGAATTTTCGGAAATCGTTCAACCTAAAGTGAGTCTCTGTCACCTTCGACGTTCTTCCCCTATATGGATACTATACTTTCAGCTCATACAAAGTCTTCATAAATCTGTTTAGCTGAGTCGTAATTCCAGAATTCTTTTATTGTTTTGTTCTTTTTCTGTATTAATCTTCTACAGATCGGCAGATTTACAATTAAAAGCAGGAAATGATGCTGTTCAATATCTTAGATTTCATTTCTATTTAATTATTTATACAGCAATCACTACAGTTTTCTGTTTGGTTGTTATACTTCCAGTAAATATACATGGTACACTAAAATGTAAGCACTCAAAATTTTATTTGATATTTTAATATATACATCTATGTGTTTTTTGATCTACTTTATTCATCCTTGTGATAATTTTATAAGTGAAGTGGGCTTCTGTGAATTACTACTACAGTAGTGCATGAACATACATTTGGGGAAGACCAATTTATTATTTAATGCAAAATTACAGTATCATCACAAAATATAAAAACCATACATTAAATACTCTATTTACACATCTTCCATCAATTGCCTTGTACAATCTTTATTGTTCTTTCAGTCTTGTTGTTTTTACAATTGCTCTTTGTTTACATTCTTGTCCTCTGCAGTTCGACCTATTCAATCTTCTGTTGTCATGCGTTCCACTTCTGATTGGTGTCACATACTACTTATATCTGTCAATATAAATAGCATACACCACACTACTACTATTTGGTTTACTTGTTATACTCTTTTGAGCGTGTCTTCAGTACATAATGACTGAAAAAGCATGAAATCAATGGTAGAATCGTAATTATTGTGAAAATTAATGCTGAATGATAGTTAACAGATATGGTATTCATCAGGAAACAAAGATCAGTTAAAATACTGAACCTATCAGCAGTACGCCTCCAAGTGGTTTTTTATAGTAATTCACCTCTTCTGGTAGTTTCATCAGCCTGCTGATTCCTCAACTAACTCACTCTCTTCATGGACGCAGAAAAATTGACTTACCTTTATCAACTTTAGTCAACTTTGGTTCAGAAAAGCATTCGTGATCCTCATGTAAAACGGAGGGAGTATGAGACATAGAATTTGGCTATTTGTTAATTTATTACTGTGAAACTCAACCTTCATATGCACAGAACATGGATAGTTTGCTTTACTGGGAGATAGTGCAAGGTTATTGGTCTATAGGAGACAGATGTATTCATTCATTCTTTATCTTTAATATTACCTTATGCTTTCATCTACTGATTGTAATTTTCATTTTCTGATTATATTTCTTTCTATATTTAGTTTTTTTATGATTTTGCTTTTTGTCGTCTTCAGTTTGTCCTTTCGTTCGTTACGTTGATTTGAGGTATTGAATAATGGCACGCTATCTACCTCTGTTTTTGTCTTTCTTTATGTATGTCTGTGCTGGTGTGTGATATGTATTCATAAGTGACTGTTTGTTGTGGGTGGTCAGTCCAGTTTCATGGTTCTGGAGAATTAAACAACCTTCTGTTCTATTAAGTTTATTTCTGTACATGTTCACTGTTCTATTATTATTTCTACAGCTAAGTATATCACTATACTATTTCTGATAGTATTATTAGCGATAAAAACAGTAATACTATTTCTGATAACTGTTGTGATAGGCGGCGTACGAAATCTGATACTGATATACTGCGTGCTATGTGCTAACCTCTTAACTGATACATATATATATATATATATATATATATATATATATATATATACCCCTTGGGAAATCAATCCATTTCTTACCAATGATATGCACTTGACCTTCAGGGCACTTCTGATCGGCTGATCATGTCATTATTATCATCATTATCATATGTATAAGTGCTTTATTCAGTGGGTGTTTGGTGTTGAAAATGTATAAGTATATATATGCATCATAATCCGTAATTTCCTCGATTTCATTTCTTGTGAATTTCACGTAGAAAAAACACTAAGCAATAAAATATTCGTTTTAATATTGAGATAATAGTTGTTTATTTTGGGAGGGGGGATCGATTGGAGGAGCAAACTAAGTACATTAAAATGTGTATATTATTAGCATTTCTGTTAATAATTGACTGTGTTCACCCTGAATTAACAATCGTGGAATAATTGGTGAATTCATATTAGTATTTTTTGATTGTTCAGTTGTTGGGACATTACAGTTCATTTGTATTATGTCTGGCATTTCATCTTTGTTTACATACCCAGGAGTGTTACTGTTACGTACATATCTACTCTGTTGAGTCCACGGTCTTACTGTTTATATTTGACTATTCAAGAACCACTCGAATTCCTATGACACAAAGTCAGGACATAAAAGACTGCTACAATAAAGATTGTCTCTCCAAAGACACGTCCCCGAACAAATCGCAAAGTTACATCATCCTTGGACCAAAATATACTCATTTATATGACTAATTCTTACACAAAACAATATCACATATAAGGGAAATTACATATAATTACTCCGAAATACTGAATTAATATGGGTAATATAATTGTCACATTGAACGAAAGTTCACACTTGTCAAATTGAACGAAGTCTATATTAAATTGTTACCAAAAATACTGACCTAAATAATGCCAATTTATGACACAGATGATCTGATTTTAGTTGGTTGAAGGTGTTCATCAGGAAATTCTGTTCTACTTTGGTGTCGTATTACTTGACACTTGTCGGAAAAGAGTATCTGGAATCTTAAGGTAACTGATTCTCCCTGTAAGAGTTGAACCCATCTAACTTCACAGTTTGTAACGTTGTCACTGAGATATTTGGGTCACGATCAAATCTCTACCAGCATTGATTTATCTACATTGATTACTGACTAACTAGGAATCAGTATTCTACTTATCCTAGTCCTTAGCATTGAATTGAATTCTATTAATCAGTGTAAAACCTAGTGTTATTTCTTAGTTCTATTACCCTTTCAAATAAGTAGTATGAACGTACGATATAAATAATTTTTGTTATTAATTTCGAAAAACAAAATTTTTAGCTCCTGACTTACAGAAATTCGGTGTTACGACCATATCAAATATATCGTCTAATTCATCTAGTCTATGGGTGCATACAATTTTTGGCATTGGATTTTTCCTGTTGGCATTTTTTTTAATGCAACATTTCTCGAGGCAATTTCGTCGAGAGTCGACTCGAACACCGAATTTCGTGAGTTGTCTTGTTGATCTTTATCATTTTTCAGTGACAGATGTTGAAAGGGAGCGTATTTGTTTTCCTATCAATTCATTTCCACTTCATTAAACTAATTACCTTCTGAATGTTTTTTTTTTGACATTGGAGCTCATAATCGATGTATTGAAACGAAAGTTAATTAATTTACCTAATTTTATACAAGGTACATTATAAATTAAGCAAATTAATTTAACTCGTTTTCCAGGTACTTGCACATAAGCTGTACTCTAAGTATGAAAACTAATAATATACTAGCCAGTTGTTCAGACTGAAATAGGTGGAGTGAGCCTCGAACCTAGTTGAAAGTCTAACATAAGATACATAGTTAATACGGTGGTATGTGTATAATCAGATTAGTGCTCCAGATTTACACTTTTTGATTAGGGATCTTTATAATCCTCTGAGTAATCAACCGTAACAGTAAGTATGGGAAAAGTTCTTAGCCGAAGCCTATGTATATTTAGATATTGGAAAGTATTGTTATTTCTTCCCGGGAGTTCGCATAAAATTTAACAGTAATTAAATTTTATTGAAATCTGTATCCTGGATCTTTTAAACTATTTATGAGTATTCAGTTGTTCTTCCATAGAATTTACATCTTCCTTCAACAGTACATTAAGTAATTCTATACGATGTTTACTGTAATTGTTATAGGGAGTAGCAATTTATATATATATATCTTCTTGATAAATACATTTGAATTCCACATTGCATGCTAAACATTTTCTAAAACTCATAACAAAGTTTGGGCTGAAATTATAATTATATGTTTGACACATCAATTTACAAATATATTTAGATTGTGGATAGCAAGGAAATCTGGGACTCACCTTCCACCCAATTTAAAACTTAGCTATATACGCTTTCATTCCTTGTATTGATGTTAGTCCCCAGACTCGAACCCTGTACCTATCAATGTGTTACCTACTAGACGAGTGAAACCAGTCAGGCATCCATTTATTCAACATGTATTTAGCTGAAAAGTTTTAAGTAGGATAAAATGCTTAACTTGGGTTTTGAATATATAAAGAAAACTTTAATGAAATTATAATTTCAAGCTGTCCGTTCAGTTTGCACATATATCAACTAAGACATATAGTATTGATTATAAACTACAGGAAAACAGTAACATTTGCAAACAGCGTTTTATCAATGCAATTGAAACCATGTTTTTTAAAATATAATTATCAGTGATATCTTTAGATTCCAGGTGGCACTTCACATAATTTCTTTTAGGTTTTCTTGTTTGTTTACATAATCCATGATTTTCTTTCACTTAAAAAGTTGTCTGTAAAACGGCTATACGTATTTTTTTTTCATTTTCATAGTCAGATAAAACATTGATGATTTCCGGGATATCACGTACAAATTGTTCACGAGCACTCATTTTAAGGCACTTTGCGTAAGTAATAGTCTTTCTGTTATTGTTATATATATTTTGTGGACCGTGTATCTGACTCCGGTTCGATCGTACGATGATGCTATGAACATAATTCTTCCATTTAACTCCATATATTACCTAGGCTAACTCTGTTTGTGTGACAGCTGTATTAAGAAGCCAAATACAAGTTGCGTTGAATGAATTTATTTCAATCGCTCATCTATCTAGATAGACATTCAGAATAAGAAACGGGAAGCGGAGCGGAGAATCACAATGAATATTATCCAATGTTATGCACCCAACAATGATAGCAATGATGACGATAGAGATCAGTTTTACGAAAGGCTCCAATCGATCATCATGAAGTGCTCAGTAAAGGACCTAATAATCCTGATGGGAAACTTAAACGCCAAAGTCTTTAGCATTAAATTATCTCTGTAACTGATGTTCAGGCTTTTAAATAATCTCGAGTAAATCCATATTTCTACTAGGAGATTTAGCCTGCGTTAAATACTCAATAAACGGGATACTATCTACTGCAGTCAGATATAGAGAATATTAGCCTCTACAAGAAAAAACTGGAAGGTGATCAAAGAAACATTAACTTCAACATGCCTGGAGGTTCTGGACCGCAACAAGTATCATCATGAGAAATGAATCTTAAGCATCACCTTAGACAGGATGCAAGAAAGGAAGAGCATGAAGATAGCAATTAACAACAGCCAAATAAGAGCAGAGAAGGCCAAGGCACAAGCTGAATACACTGAAGCAAACAAGAAATTGGAGAGGAGCATTAGAGGCAACATGCCTAATTCTAACGCGTGATACCACATAATCTATCAGGACGTTCCCTCATTATTGTTGGTAGTTGATGAATACTTTTGAAAAATTGTTGTTCGTTAGTATTTATTCTAAAAACCAGAATTAAATTGTACTACCTCGTTAACCAGTTACTTGATTATAAATCACACTGTAATTGTGAAGGCTATTAATCTCCTATTCAGTTGCCTAAAGCAACGTACGTATAGGGATGTTTGAATCTGGGATGTAGTTGTTCGAAAGTCGAACTCTAAGCTGGACATTTGATGATTTTCCAACTGATTTCGGAATCATCAGTAACAAGAGAGCGAAGCAAACAATCTGTTCAACGTGTCTCTTCACCCATTTTGAGTAAAGTCAAGAAAGGAATTGTCAAAAAATTTTTTAATAAATAAAGCAAAATATACATTACTATCAGTTCTACAACCGATCGATTCATATCCTTCAGTGTTATACGGGTTTTGTACATAGTGGTATTCGGATATTTTAGAGTTTACACATTACATTGACTCGTAATTTGTCTACGATTTGAAAACAGTGTATGACTAGTTGATAAGTCTCTCATCAATAATCTCAGATTGTGTGGTGGTGTTCTCTCTCATCACACGCTTCTTAGAAATGTACGTTTGAAAATAAATGCTTGATGTAAATGCACTAAGACAAGTTGTATGTACAATGACATTAAAAAGTTATGAAATCAACAATCAATGCCAATCTGTGCTACCGTAGCCACTGTCTGATAGCCAACTCAGAAATAAAAGTCTAGTATACCGTGCATTTATTTTACTTTAACTTATTGAAATGTGTTTTTTTCAAGCTGTGATTTTCGACGGCTATATGTGTAGTTCATTATTTATCTCCGAAGGGCTATTCGCGTTCAATAACGACATTATTTAGGTAATACTGTGGTTCTGCGTTTGTTTAGGGATAGTAGAAATGATGATTGAATAAGCTTATACATCTTAAATACCATCTTCAATGAATTTGTTACCTTATACAATTGTCCTCTCAAGGGCTCCTGTATGGAATGCGTTAGAGTCTTAATTATTATTTATCTAAACTAATGTGTTCGAGATAAATATACCGGGTGCCTGAAACATGGTAACGGAAGCTTCTGTGCTGTGCTTTCTTCGAATTAAAGACTGCGGATAGAAGGCGTTCTTACCAACAGGATGGAGATTATCTCGGTTTCGATCCAAGGCTTATTTTTCTAGTCAAAGCGAATCATTAGTCAACACTTAGAACCCTTGCCTATAGGCAAAATAGCACGCTTGGCGTAGCAAAATTGTATCCCGGATTCTGAATTGTGGATTTCTGATATTGAATAATCTGAAGTCATTACTCAAACTTTCTGAATTCATGCCGTGATTTCTTCAAACATCAACTCATCTAGCTCATAAGACTTCTAGAAATAAATAAAATGATCAATTCACTCAACTACTTAGTCTCTCTTGATAAATCTAGACATTGAAGAAAACTAATTCTGAACCAGGTTTTTTTTCCGTGGTCTTCTTTCAGATGCTTTGATGTTGAAATTACAAGTTTCCAATGAAAATATGATAAAATAATGATCATTTACGTATATTTTTCTATTTCTTTGTTTGAATGAACATGAAATGAAAATCATTGAATAGAAAAAATGTGTCTAGTTTTGTGTTTTCAAAGAATGAAAAAAAAGAAACGAAATCATATTCGGAAATACATTATCATTTTATATTTTATCACCGGACCGTTTTTTATTAAAATGATTTAATTATCTGTTTTTATATCGTTTTCGAAAAATACATTTTAATCACTGAATAAACACTAATGATAAATTTTTAAAACAATATGACTTATTTGTTGCTATCGGATACGTGCTTTTATATGTTTACATGTAGAACTAAAATTTTGTATCCTGATCGTCTTTTTCCTACCTTATTTTTTTGTATTTTTTCAACGACAACAACAACACAGAGAACTTTATCCTGAATGTCCTGTTGAAGATGTACAAATTTGTTATGATACACGAAAACTGATAAAACTTGAAAATCAGAAGTACGTTTTTTTCTCTCTGTGTTGTTTGTTATTGTTCTCTTCATGTACTTCTTTTCAGCTATGTATATATGTCATTTGCCATTATTATATTAGTTTGAATTGAATAAATCTGTGGAGCAGTGATTCAATGGTTAGGATATCCGATTGTTAGCCACTATATCGCAGTTTCAAACTCTACTTCACCTACTTCGATCTGAACAACCACATAATATCATTACTCGTCACACACAAAGTATGACTGGATGTCAGGTATACAAGTCCTGTACTTGGTAAATGAGTTGAATAAATTAAATAATATATTGACAATGTAGCGCTATCTTATTATGTTTTTTTATCAAACTATGTATAGACTATCATATACATACAGTATTCTTACATTCAAGTCAATTCACTAAATTTATTGCCCGATATATCATTTGTTACCATAGTCGATAGTTCTCACCCGACCGTAGCTGCTACCTTGACGCGGTGATCGGCCTTGCCTATCGTGATGACCCAACCGAGCTATATCGGCTGGAACATATGTTCCTGTAGGATCTACCATGCCAGGCAGGTCTCGTGTGCTGTTACGGGTATGAGGGCTGATATCACTTCCCGGCTGCCCACACCGTTGAAGGGTATTTCTTGAGGAACCTGAAAGAGAAGTCGGATTAATGTTGGCCTTGACGACCTGGGAGCGTGACCGTAGAGCCCAGGGGACAACTGCTTGAGGCCGGTCGCACACGGCCTTTTTGTGGGAGGTTTTCAATGTGTTAGCTCCGTTCTTCAAAGGGCCTTACCGCCGGAGACGGAAATCCGTGAGGTAAGGTGAGGTGTGACATTTATTGGGTCGAACTTTTCTAACCCATTCCTTCCTTGTGGGAAGGCAGCATCTCTGCAGATGCTGGTTGTTCGAGGGAAACACCTTACTGCCGTCACACCCCTCTACAATCAGCAGTACGACTTCGCCCTCAGACCTTGAGTTGCTGCTTTTAGTCTCACCGTTCTCCAATCGACGTGCCTGGCATGACAGAACCTACAGGAACATATGTTCCAGCCGATATAGCTCGGTTGGGTCATCACGATAGGCAAGGCCGATCACCGCATCAAGGTAGCGGCCGACATAAATCACAATTATAGTAATCTGCGCCTACTGATATGGAACTCAATCGAACTGGCACATAACTCCTGAATGCTCATCAATGTATATGTTTATCATTTTATCAGTAATATTTACAGGCTGTGTTTCTATGTTTGCATACATATTTATCGAATAGTTAAAAGCTGTGTGTCATTGTATTGTGGCACCTGAGAACCTGAACACTCATTTTTATGAATATTTTAATCTTACTGTTTTCTGTATATATATATAGTAATTACCTTGATAAGCAATTTTGGCATTTATAGCGTATGAAAATCTAGTTTTTTTGTGATTAATTTTGTGGCGTTATTTAATGTGATTATTTTTTTCTTTTTTTTTCCAAATCATATTACTTTTGGTAAAACTATAATTTTTTGTCAAGTGTTGTAAAGTGAATATTGACAGGTGAATAAATAAAAGCTAATGAGGAAACTATTAAATACACATACAATTTTTACAACTCACCAACTACCGATAAGTATACTCGGTTATGAGCCACAATTTGTGTATAAGAGCTGGTAATACTACTTGACTATCAAAACCTGTTGAGGAGTTCCAAAGTATTCCTCAGAAATCTCTCAAGGGCCTAGGAAACGCTTGGAAACACTATGCAATCAGCGTTGAATAAATGCATCACAAAAAAAATCCAGAAAGTGAATAGTCCCGTTTCTGATTGGATATTTACCTATACTGCTACCATATTTTATATGTTTATAAAAATTTCTAGAAGCTCAAGATTGTGTTACTCTATAATTACCCTCATTTTTCTGTACACAAACTAACCTTGAAGTAAGGCATTCGTTTTTACACTCCGTGCGTTTTTTCTCATGATCAAGTTTTCGTTTAAGTTTAGCCTGGGGTTATTAATGACTATAAACAGAAGTGTCTAAGACATAAAAATTGTAATTGAAAAGGAATAACATAATGTCGTAGATTGGGTATGTATGAAATTTATTGTATTTATCTTTTCAGTCTGATGTATTTTACCTAATACACTTCATTCGACTTGATTATATGTTAAAGAATGAACTGGAAACTAAGTTTATTTGTAAAGAAGTCTTAGTAAAAAGTTTAAAAAGGTGTAGAAACACTAGTACCTGTTATATAAATGATGTATACACTATCTAGAATTTTCTGGCATCATTTGCCTTCGATGATTAATGTAATCAGACAGAATATTCGTTTCCTTATCACCAGATTGAACCTACAAGCTGAATATTTTGAATATTATTCTTTCAAGATCTTTCTTCTTTAAATAGGATTGTTGGATGTTTACTTCAAACCTAGAGAAATTTTGGGAATAAATGCTATTATGTCACTGTAACCAACTGAAATGATTAATTTTTTTGGTGCTTCCTTTTCAACTTTCATCCAGTCTATCAGTCATAAACATTGTAGAGCTTAACACATTTATAAATCGATTCACGTTGTTATAATGAAATGGAATTATCAAAATAGTTGCCGGAGTAATAGTTGTAGTAGCAGTATTAGTGACAATAGAAAAGATTGAGCATAATCAGTATGATTTGAGAAGAAAGTGTGAAATCGTCCTCGTAAAATGTAACCAGTGGCGTTCAACCTTTGTCGGGTGTGAGGAAGTTACCCAACAAATCTATGAAAGATGGTCACTCAGTTTGATAGATTGATCAAAGTTGAACTTGTGCACCATCGAACCCCGGACCAGTGGTCTAGTGGTTAGCTATGCACACGCCACACCGAAGGTCCCGGTTTCCAATTCATGTTTGTGAAAACACACTCCTAAGGAGTCCCATACTAGGATGAAACGACCACCTAGTGTTTCAAAGTTTTCAGTAGTTCATGATATCAGTCAGTCTTCATACACCAACTTTGTTGACTGATTCCCACGACTTGACTTTGTTTTTCCCCAGATTATTCATTAACATACATTTGACTGTACTTTGTTTAGAAACTACTCATCTATCATTTGCATTGTTGATTATCATTACTACTATAATTACCATCATAAATTAATATGATTCTTTCTTTCTCAAGAGATACTGTAAGAGCTGCTCTACGTTACTCTGAAGAAAGTTACGAACGTAAACGTAAACGTCCATTTATTATACCATGTTGTTGTGGTTGGATGTATAAAAAATGTTATGAAAATAATTGTTGTCGTAGTTGTTGTTGGAATACTAATAATCAAATAGATTCTTCACAAAATTATATTTCAAATAATAATGATAATCATATAGATAATATTGATGATACTGTGCCAAGATCTGAAGCTGTTAACAACGAATTATCTTCATCATCTTCCTCTTCTCCTTCACCTAAAATAAATTATAATAAATGTAAATTATGCCTTTGTTGTTCATGTCCACAACCTGCTGATGCAATCACTTATTATACAAATAAAAAAATGTATTTACAAAAAGAAATTGAAAAACAATATGAAACAACAATTAAAAAACCAATTGGTATTGCATTTATAACATTCTCAACCAAATATGCTGCAGCTTAGTAAGTTGATTTATGAATAAATGAATTATTAATTATTATTACTTATCAGAAGAGGTTTTGTGGAGATTTTAGTAATTTCAATAGTTGAAATCATGAGTCAATTGAAGCTAGACCATCATGGAAAACATGGAAGCACTGGATGGCCGTTTCGTCCCAGTGTGAGACTCCTCATCAGTGAGCATCCACGATCCCGCCCCCCGCGAGGTTAGAATCCAGGACCAACCAGCCTCGCGCACGAGCGTTTAACCATTAGACCACTGATAGGTTTTGGGTTCAAATCTCGCGGGGGGGGGGGCGGTATCGTAGAAGCGCACTGCTGAGGCGTCCTATACTAGGACGAAACGACTGTCCAGTGCTTCCAGGTTTTCCATGGTGATCTAGCTTTAATTGACTTATGATTTCAACAATTGAGATTGTTAATTCATTAATTTTTTTAGTGAAATATTGTCTTATTGTATTTATTCAATCTATTCCATCTATTACATTCTGTAAATACTGTTTTTTTTTCTAATACTTTAGTGTATGTAAAGAATATCGTAACATTTGTCGACGTTTAATTATATCTATAATGTCTAGTACTAGTACTAGTTCAGTATTGAAAAGTCATATGTGGTCTGTCGACTTTGCACCTGTTCCAAGTAATATTATTTGGTAAGTCCTGTGTTGTTTTAGTAAATTATTCCCTTATGTAATTTTTAACTTCTGATTTTAATTAATTCTACTTATAGTAAATCTTAATTTTCTCTAACGTATCGTTTTAGCATGTAGTGTGGAATAAAGCGACAGTTTAAGTAAGAAAAAAGTAGACAAGAATATGCTATTAGTCCGTGAAATCATTAACTTTTAGTCTGAGTCTTGTCTTTATATCTTGAGTTTCAATGCGTCTTCATACATACCTTCTTTTTGAACCAAATTCTCTATTTCATCTGTTCAATTTTTATCCGTTCGATTATTACTTGCAGTTTCTTTGTCACTTATATTGTTAAGTTAATTTCTTTGCATTGATGTGGTTTTACAACTTAGGCTGGGTGTACATGTGTATAGGGCTCTAGTTGGATGATGATGAATTGTCATAGTCAAATTCTCAGTGATCTTTATGGGAAAATTATCTAAGATTAAATGACAATTACTTTCCACATTTCATTGTTTTCTAATACTCCGGTTGTTAGATTAGTTGGAGAATTTCTATAACAGTATGTTTACTTGTAGAACGACTAAGCATCTAATATTTTACCATAACTTGCCATCGAACACTTACCAATATAGTGTTTTTCTAGACCTTACTACATTTCAAATACTATCGATCAAATTATACAATCACCAGTAAATTAAGTAATTCGAGATCACCGTGTGTTTTATTTTGATGTTAATTATTCCAAGGTAATTGACATTCAAACACAACTCATTGTCAAGAAGTAAGTTTCAAGGTTTTAGTGCTCTCCATTGAGGTGAAAAAATCGATTGACTTAGTGAAATAGTTTATATTCATTGAGTTATCCTGCTTTCAACTGACCTACTGAGACCCGAGGTGTTTGCATTGATGAGTTACTAAACAATAATGGCAGTTGCATGTTGATATCGTCCTGTTGTATTTGTCAATTGATGGCTTAGTATTTTCTTACATTTTCAAAACTTTATCTAGGAATATTTTTCTTAGGCGTTTATTGATTTGAACTATTTGTCAGATTGAATGACGATTATTTTTCGCTAAACGGCGTACTGATAATGATATTCATAAGTATTCTAACTAATGTCTCGAAATTACCGTTCAAGTGAATCCTTTAATATTTCAGTTACTAAACCACACACTGAATGTGTGAAAACTAAATTATTTCTACCAATCTTAGTTTCTTTTTTAAAGGATTTCGTAGTCGCAAACTCATTTGTATACTTCGATAATATCCTTCGTTTTCTGTCTATTTACTATTAGTTTCAAAAGCAAATCTTTGTGTTTTCGCTAAGGATTGAGTGGTCGGTTAAAAAGTCAATATCTCAAGTGTTGTTCTATGTGTTTCCCAATTATCAACATTTTTTTTTTATGAACACAGTGGATATGAATCAACTTAGATGAAGTAACAATTGACAATCTACAACTAACAGTTGAAAATTAAATGATATCTAACGAATAAAATACCATGCTTCATATGTATTGTAATTAATATAGCATGTTCTCAGTGTTTAAAGGTCTCTTGTAATTTCGATTCGTTTACATGTCTAAGATTCTCCAGTCATTTATTGCTAACAATACATTTCACACTTTTCATTATCAAAATGCAGTTTATTTTCTTAGTTTAAATCATGAACTAGTCTTAGCTAGAACACTATTGTAAACCTGCAAGCACTGGACGGTCGTTTTGTCTTGATTTGGGATTCAATAATGCACACTCACAACCCTGCATCTGGGAATTGTGGGTGAACATTTGACCCCCATCACATTACGTCGAAGTCTCTGGATTCAATTCCCGGATGTAGAGTTATGGACGCTCACTGTTATAGAGTTCCGTACTATCAAGAAACGTCTATTTGGTGCTTCCAGATATTTGATAGTGATCTAGCTAAGATCAATTCCTTGTTTAAACTATGAAAATTCTACAACCTCCATAACCTCCCCCACATACTGATACATGGTTTATTTGTATTTAATAAATTTGATTGTCCCATCAACAAAACTACAATCATAACTCAGCATACATGCAATTCCATTCATTGTTTTGAATATTATTTCCACATGCTCCGCTTCCTTGTTTGTTTTTTGTTACGAAAATACGATTAATACAGGGATTTTGTAATTTAGCCTCTGGCATAATATATTTTGTCTCTAATACATCAAATCATTTTCATCTCTATGTGATTACATAGGTTGATTTGATTAAGTTGCGCCTAACTAACTCATATTTTCATTAGAACTATATTTTTCATGCGTTTAACTATCCTCTTTTTTTCTTCAAATAATATGCTTTCATCATTAAAATTTATCGTTTGTGTTTAATCCTTTGTATGTATCAAATGTCTTGTTAATTAACTGTTTAGAATTGCTATAGTTTCTTTTGAATAAAGTTGATTAGTGAAGCAAACAAAACGCATTGTTCGAGACAATTAGACAACGTTTTTTTTGTATATAACACATCTGATACTTGGGCACTTAACTATGACTTCTAACCAATTTCTAGTTCTTTAGAAGTCTACTACAGTACAATATCGAATAGAAGGTGAAAAGTATGAGAAGAAGCCTCGCTTCTCAGGTTAGTTTAGGCACAAGTAACAAGGATGTTTAGGGAGTATATATATATATATATATATATATAGAGAGAGAGAGAGAGAGAGAGAGATTAGTAGCAAAGTTGGCAGTGGTCCAATCAGGATATGACACACAATTCATGATTTTTCTAGAACTTTCCCTCTCTTATATGTTTATTGAACTCTGACTGTATAAAATATTTTTAACCATTTCGTATCCTTTGAAGGCTTTTCCGAGGAATATTTGTCGACTCTCAACTTGGTGTTGGTATTAATGTAGTTTTTCACTGCATTCTTGTGGTTCATTCATTCAGAACTTCATTTAATGCTGCACGCGCTATATACAAATTCAAACTGTCATTTACTAAGAAAAACCATTTTTCAACAGTTCATGTTTAGATTTTTGGGAAATGATTCTTTTCATAACTATGTGCGTCTCACAGATGTGACCTCTGGCGTAAAAAGAACGAGCTTCTACAACCGAAAAAATTTTAGAAGCATAAATTGAATTCTGTCTAATATACATGACACTTTATTCGAGAGGTTTCCAAATTCATTTGAAATATGGTCTTGCTGAGTTCATGATAAAGAGTGATGCACCGTTGATACTTTCAATCAAATACTTTATATATTAGTCAAGGTTTTTTGAATATCCATTTCAGCGTCTCATTAAGTAATGCAGTTGAAAATTACTAATATGACTCTACTAAATATTATAGAACAACTCAAAATGTAGTGAGGACGGGACATCATGAACTATTGTGCCACAAATTGAAAGACGCTCCAACTTAGTCATCTTAATAATCGAGAAAATTTAACACCTTAAAATCAACTTCGCTTGCAGTTTTTTCTTAGAAAGATAAACTAAATCAGTTTCCTCAGTAAGATGTCACTAATAATTTTTCAGTTCTTAAAAAAGTATTATTGCCTATATCACGGACAAACATTAGCTAGGTAACCATTGTGATATTTTTCAGAGTTCTAGTGAGAAGCGGTGATTAGTGGACTTCAAGCTCTTTGTGTTTGACAGTCATCTACCAATCATACTGAAGTATGGTTTTACAATATCACAAACTAATTAAAATTGGAAACACCAGCCATTGAATTTCAACCTAGTAGCTTGAAGGGTAAACACCCTGCAGAGACACCTTAATCGACTTAGGTTCCATTCCAGACGAAGTTGTCAATGCACACTGCAAGAGTCCGTTGATAAGATAAAACATCTGCTTGGTTTTTAATGTTAATCTAGCCAAAGTTAGTCCATGAAATACAGAATGACATTCGACAATAATAGCGAACCCATATACTAACGTTATTGTAGTTGCTTTTTTTGAATTTTAGGGCGAATCTAGCAGCTACGAGAACTGTGTGGTGGTGTCGAGCAATTTTTATTAACTTGTGTGTTTTCTTCGTGGTGTTTTTTCTTACTACTCCTACATATGTATTGAATTTAGTTAATACATTGCACTTAACTGAACGTCTACAAATTAATGTGAGTTTTCTTTCTTTTATACTATCATTATCATAGACGCTTTTTGCTACTTTCGTAAAAGTCACTACACGAAAAAAATTAAATTACTACTTAAGAGTTTCTGGAATTCAATGCCGATATAGAGTTTATTTTATACTTTGGTATATATCTATTATTTAAGTAATGATATCATTCATGAATCTCGTAAATTAGCCTATCATAGTGACTGATGATCTTGTAGTAAAAGAAAATTTGATGGGGAAAACCAATTTATAGTTTAATGCAAAATTGCAGAGTGTTTTCATAAAATATGAAAACCATACATTGTTTGCACATCTTCCATCAGTTGTGTATTACAAACTTCATCATTCCTGTTGTTATTACAATTTTTCTCTGGTTACGTCCCTGTTGTCTACAAGTCGACCTTCTCAATCTCCTGCTGTCATCCATTCCATTTCTGATTGGTGTTATATATTACTTATATCTGTCAACATATGTAGCATACACTACAATATGACTCTTGTTTGTTCACTCAATCTCGCCCTTGTCTTGGTTAAGCTGTTTTAAATGTTGATTAATTGGTTAGAAGTGATGACAGTGTGATTTTTTTGTATTCCCTTCTGTAATTTTTTTAAATAGAATAAGGATTCAGTACTCTGGTTCTTAACAATTCACCCCCCCAACATATCTATTTCTTATTTTACCCATACACCGTTGTCGTTGTAGCTAAATAGTGGGAAGTTCATAGGTTTTTAATTACTGATTTTGTGAATTGCTATATCATACGTTGTTCTAATCAATTAATCAGGATTAAAAATACTATTAATTTGTTTAAGCTGCGTGATCCAACTATAAATTCTACTTTAATCCAGTAATCAAGTTTAACTATCATAATGATCTAATTTAGCTATGTTGACTGAAACCATTATTCATTGAATACCTACTATATTTTCCAAGTAGATCAATAAAAACGAAAATACCAAGAGTAGCACGTTTCAAGTTCGAATTCTAAGTATTATCAGAATATGGGGAGAGAAAAATATGTTCTCAGTTAGCCAGCATATCTAGATTGACAGCTCCCTTCAGATTGATTTGAGGAGTAATCAAGCTGCTCTTTAAAACACTATACATCCTTTACTGGGTTCAAAAACTGTGGGATTGATGCTAAAATTATAATAGATTAACGATTCTATACAGTCGGCTCGAATCAGTTTTACCGTCATGCTCATGTTGATGAGTGCTATCTAGGTGAATCTTCTTTTCACGATCCTTCACAAAAATTATCATACACTGGAACTACAGTCAATTTTTTCCATTGGATATGTATAATTTCCAAACCTGTTAAATTATATTTAAATGTCTGACTAAAATTGACTACAATTAATTGGTCGAATGAAGATAGTAAGATACATTTGGAAGTTTTTGCTGGCAAAATGAAATGAAATGATATTACGCAATAAAAGACATAACCAACTGATTAATTTAAAAGCGGCAAATATTATGAAGAAAACTAAATTGTTCATCATTGCGTCAGATTGGTATCATTCAAAAGTTTACATCACGAACTAACTTCAGTTGAATACCTAGTGAGTATCAGGAAGCATTGGACAGTTGTTTTTGTCTTTGTATGAAGCCCTTCATCAATGTGCATCCACAAACCCACTGAGGATCATCATGTGAAGTCGTTCACGTGCATTGTTGAAGAATCTCTTACTAGAAAAAAGTAGCTGTTCAGTATTTTCTGGTGTTTAATAGTTGTCCTACTAACGTCAGTCCGTAATGTAAAAATATGTACTAACATTTTTGTTTTCAATATTTCTCATCCAATAGAATCCACTATTGATTCAATTTTTCCCATCTATTATTCTTTGGTCCGTGTCTGCTTTATTACCTTACATTGTATTCAATTCAGATCGACTTGTTGGTCATTGGACTAAATCTGTTCTACATTTAACTGTAATGATTAAAACATACACTTTATTAATTCTAATGATTTTAGTACTTCCATCACTTGGCCTTACATCGTAAGTCTTTTCTTTTGAAGTGATTTTATTCAATTTTGTATGATATTAGAAGCTTATAGATATATCTGTTTCGGGTGGAATAGCTTCCAAAATGTTATAAGTATATAAAGGCCAACGGAATAGAAATGTATCTGCATTCAAACTATTGTTTTTAAATATGAACTCAAGTTTTCATTTTTGCTAAATTAAAAGAGTGTTTATCTCTTCGTTTTGTTAGCCATTGTTATTTGTTTCATTTAGATTATTAGTTATTTAGCTATGAGCAACATTGAATCATTTCGCATTTGTGCATCGGTGTGAGTTTACCACAAAACATTAGCACAGTGAAGTAAAATTGTCAAAGTGAGTACCAGAGTGATATGAACAGTAAGAGTATCAGTGGTAGTGGATAGAATTAGACCTGAATAACTCATTTGTAATGCCTAAGACCGTGAAGCTAGATAACATGGGATGTCATACGATAGAGAGCACCAGTTCTCTCAAAATTACAGGCATCCCTTGCTAACGCCTGTCAAATAGAGTAAAACCTATGTCCAAGGCGTCCTATCAACTACTTCCAATCAACTAACATCACAACATAGAACACCCAATGTCAAATCACTTAGACTAGTGGCCTCATTACAACTTGTTTGATAGAATTGGATCACCATTAAAGGACTAGACAAATATGATACCAATCACCATTCATTGTTAGATCAATAGTAAGGACTTATAAAGTAACCTAACTTTATTCCTTTTGACATGTTTGTAAGTATCATTATAAGGTTTGACTTGATAATTTCAAATAAATTGAGTATTAGGTGGACTATTTATTATAACAAAGTAATGGTATATTTGTAATATGCAAATGAGTTGGAAATTGGGTTCCTAACGTTTTACAATTTATTTTCTGTTGCTCTGTCTTTGTATCATTCATGTTTGTTTATTAAGTAACAAATATTGTCTGGTACACAAATTATTTCTGTCTTGAATATTAATTGAAGTTATTCATTTTCTCTGATGTTAGTCGTCATAAAATGTGTATGTGATCTGAATTACTCCCCGGGCACGTGGTTTTCATAGGAATCCACTAAGGTCTAATCCACAAGAGAATGAAGCAACGTTAATAACTGCCGTATTATCGTAGCGGGTTCATACACTATTAAAGTCAGTGTGAAACTTCGGTTTAAAATCAGGGTTTTCCAATTCCCCTAATCTGAATCTTTCGTATCTATCAACTTCGATTAAGTGTTGGATATTCGCTTTTCCCCTTCTTTTTTTCTTTAATCAGCAATTCCACCACGTAAAATCAGTGAATAAAACGTCCTGATAGAGTCTGTAAAGTCATAACCATATCCTATCATATGCTACCCTGTCTTACCTTGGCATTCACAATGTAATCTTTGTATTCGTGTGGTCCATTCTGCATCTGCTGCCGTACTGTATTTTTGTATATAAATAAATTGGTGTATAAGTAAACAACCTGTTCAAAATTTATGTATGTATTATGAACTATTTTCTTAACGTTGCCAGTAATATTTTCTTGTGATTTGTCAATCTATCTGTAATAATAATACATGTGTATGTATTTCTAGAATACCTGCTCTACTTCAGTGGCTTTTCCCGGAAATGCATATCATACCACTTGTCCCAGCAAATAATGGTTCAAAAATTATTAATATTTCAACCATCAATAATACTACTAGTAATAATAATAATGCTACTGCTAATAATTCAAGTACACCATCTTCATCGAGTCCATTCATTCCAATTGGACCACAGTCATTTCAATGGGAATGTGTTTTTATGCCAGATAATGGTGCTTTCTTTGTCAATTATGTAATCACTGCAGCATTTATTGGAACATCGTTAGAACTTGTTCGATTTTCTGAATTATTTAATTATGTTTGCCGCCTTATGTGTGTTAAATCACAAGCTGAAAAAGCTGGTGTACGAAAGGTAAATTTTCTATTAGGTTTTCACTTATTCTTCTGTTTACAACTTCCTTAATTATGTTATTTTAATGAAAACGATTACTTAATTATTTACATGTAATTTGATAGTCATTTTCTAAATGTGTCCTGTCATCTGCTTTACACCACGGATTGATCTTAGACAATTGCTGGAAAGTAGGGAGCGCTAGTGATCTGTCTCATTCTAATTTAGGAGTGTTCTACAGTGCGTGTCTATATCGAGGGCTTAACTTTCAGACAACTGAGTTGGCATCCGATACTTTATATTCCCATCTTCAATCATTTCGCGATATTGCGCAACCATCTTCCAATGCTATTAGTGGGTAACTATTTTATAACCATTTCTTTTATTATCTTGGATCACTAATTATTGAAGACTCTTTCTTTATTAATAGGCTAGTCAATTTGAATTTCAGTTTGGACTGTTTTATGCATGGAGTTTATGCGTCTTCGCTGTGATCTGTGCATATAGTATTGTATGTCCGTTGATTACACCATTCGGTAAGTAGCTAACATTTCTATAATTTCTACATTGTATTATAAATGACATCGTCATTGTATTATTTGGTAGTTTTTTTCGTAATAATATAATTTGTAATTTTCCTAGCAAAATTATTGTTTACACACATTATTTGTGCAATTGAACCATCTTTAGCCAGTATTCATTAAAGTTAGGGCAAAATCTTTGGATGTGTTTTGCAAGTTTTCTCAATTTCATGGCTTAGTACGCTTTGTTGGATTTAGATGTATGTAAAAAGCCGTAACACTTTCCACTAATTTGGCGCAATTTTGTTGCCATCCTCAAATTAATATGAGTATAAAATATTAGTTGTACAAATCTGGGATGCTAACATTTTCAATGAACACTTTCCATGCCTCCTCGAACTTACTAACGTCTAGTAGTGTGTTTAGGGTCAGAATATATATGAAGAATTAACACCATTTTCAATCATGAAACACCAAATTTCGTGGTTTAATCACGTTACTTGCATTTTGTTTTGATGCCTCCTCTCTTGTGCATTATTTAGTGACGCTGCATACTGAACAAATATTAGTGGAAGAGATGGTAGACGTTGTTACATGACGCTCTAGAATGAACGATTATTTTGTTGAATAGAGATCGACTAGCACTTCGGTGTAATTTTATGTTTTTTTTAAAGTGTTTTTATTCTTTATTTAATTTGCTTTCTTATATTCATTTTTAGGTCTTATCTATTTAATATTTAAGTATTTCGTAGAACGTTATAATCTCTACTATGCCTATTTGCCTAGCCGTATTGATTCCCACATTCATTGGCTTGCAATCAGTTGTATGTTAGCTTCTGTGTTTTTATTACAATTAAATATATTCATGTTTATTGTTTTACGTTCCAATACTGTTAGTCATGCTTTAGTAATTTGTTCATTATTGGGTTTGATATTCTCTGCAATATTAATAATTTTCACGATTGTTACTGGATGGATAATGGCTGGTAGTAGTTCAGCACGTAAACTTCTATTTAGAAATGCACATTTAGTCCCTACCACTGAAGATGTATTCGTTGATCAGCATAGTCAGTATAATAGTTCAGTCAGTGTTCAACGTAGAGGATCAAATTTGAACGAAATAACCAAAGCAGTAAGTGTATTTTTTTAATTAATAGATTTATTATCTGCTTTTTAATTTTGTTTCAGTTTCAAAATTTGATTGATAAATTTCTTTGAAATCACGATCCTATCTAAGTTGGGAGTTCATGGGAAATCTCACAGCACTTGATAACCGTTTACCCTGGTATGGGACTGCTCAAAAGCATGCATACATGACACTGAGAACGGCAGTTCAACCCCAGGGCCTTAAATCTCGCGTGCTGACCCCTAACCTCCAGACCACTGACTCGAGATCCGGTTGTGTATAAATCTAACTTCAATCAGTCCATGATATTGCACGGTCGTTTTCCAATTTCTTTAGTGGGTAACTTTTTTACACTCGACATGGTTGAACTTCTCTGGACATGGCTTTTCTTTTGAACTTCGGAGATTTCTTTCCCAAACTAGTCACCAACATAGGCCACGGAAAATGTTCACGCAATAGCGTAGATTGATTGATGTTAAAGTTTTACATTATTGGGTCCTGGCTCAGTGTTTGGAGGTTAAATGTTAACTCCCAATACGTATGGTTCTGAGTTAAATTCCCAGTTTCAATGTCCTGCATGTATAAGTTTGAGGAGTCCCATACTAGGTGGAAACTGTTGTCTGGTGCTTCCAGATTTTCAAGCACTTTATAATATCGTTTTTTAAGTCATTAATTATCTAGATTCAACTAATGAGTACTGTAAAGTGGGTCTATTTACAAAATAGTAGGGTTTTTTCGTAAAATCTATTTCTCACATTGTAGGCTTTGTCGTCTTATTGGCCTGGGGTTAAGTCAACAGTGTTAGCAAAGGAGTGACAGTTTTAAAGAGTAATTACATGTGTTCAGTTTTTACAAACTTCTGTGCATTCCCTATTGTGTTGATATTTTAAATCCTATATAGTAAACAAAAAGTTATAACATTATGTCATTAAATATTAATGACCTCAGTGGTGAATAGAGCCTATGCCATACAGTTCTTGTTATTTAGTTCTAGTTCAGTAATGATGGTAAGGATAGAAACACAGCTGACGGTTGGACAAAAGATACATATTAATCATACTAGCTACAGTTTTATGGGTTATCCTATGGGAAAGGACTAGAATCACCTCACTATGGTAATGAGGTGCTTTGAAGAAGACAGGGAGAGAGAAAGGCTTTGTTGTCGTCTTCTAACGTATTGTTTTTGTTTGTTTCCATCTAATTTTAATAGTTTTATAAAATCATAACAAATTGTCTGGTAATTTTCTCGTAACTTATATTATGCTCATGTTTGTACATATATTTATATGTAGAAATAGAGATACTTTACTAGGTAACGATTATTATTATTGTTATTAGCTTTACTCAATACTATATTTTTGGTACAATATGGAATTCTCAGCACAAAGTATTTCAACAAGTTTCCGTTTCTTACTTGGTCGATCATGATAATAAATATTGAGTAATTGCCAGTTAAAAGTTAGCAGTTCAGTTAACCGACATTTAAATAATGTACACTCTTTTCCCTGCATATTGCCAGCAACCAGGATATCTCTGATTAGTCCTTTTGTAACTTGTACAGAGAAATGTAGTATACTTTCACAAATGCACCTGAATAGCTTATGCGATGATTAGTCATAACGATGTACTAAAACATACCAACTTAGATAACTTGTTGAAATATTTAGATGTCAGGAACAGCTAGGCCAGATGTTCAGGCAGGCTGCCAAAGCATAGCAACGATACTCGTCGTATCGATCAGTTGACATCACGGGTTATCTTATGTTTTTAATAATCTCTTTATTTAACTAATGATATTGTGTTATTATTGCTTGTCTGATAGGATTATACTAATCGCCTTATTTTATTGCACATGTTACCGAATTTTACTTTGAGAAAGTGTATTTCTACTGCATAATTTCATTCCATAACTAATAGTAAGAAGCCTCTGTCTATAATCCATGAGTTTGGCATATATATGATTAAGCTTAGAGTAGTAAGCAAAGATAACAAATCAGTTGATGAATCTGTAAATTTTAATCGACTGAAGGGTTTTTTGACACTGATGTTGGTAAAAAAAATAGATTTCTTGAGTGGGTGGTATTGGTTCTCGTGTGATTAAACCGTAACGACAGCAAAGAAGTTGTATTATATATCTGTCTTCAGTCCAATAATCAATTAATTCAACCATATTACCAGTAGGATCGGTAACCATCCAAATACCAACTGACATATTGACCAATCAATAATAACTAAGACCTAAATGCTTATCGGTCTTTGATTTCCTTCCAAAGCAAGTGCCCAATCAAATGATGAAGCTAAAAAGAGAAGATCAGTTTTCTGTTGTACTTAGTTCAGTCGTGATTCAAAACTTATACAATAATACATCTGAAATCCCTGACTACACAACGAGACAATTTTGGTGTTACAACGTGTTCACAACTCGATCATAAGTGATATAATACCAGAGTTGTTGAGGAATAATTAAGGAATGATAAATCTCGAATAATACGACTTGACAACGATTTATGGGTCAAACAAAAGCTTAAAAATTGCAGAATAAAAATATACAACATTGTAAGCATCTACGAACAATATAATAATATCTTAAATAATAATCCTTCGTATGATAGTTTCCAAAGTTATGTCTCCACCTTATTCGTCCCACTACATCAGTTACATATTGACAGGAGATGTTAACTAGCGTAGAAGTCAGTTGGTGGGGAGCTTGTTTGTGACCAAATTATGAAATCATTCACTGTTGGTCTGAACTTTTCTGATAGATGCAGACTACCTAGTTGAGGTCCACGCTACATAATCGGTCACAGTAGCACTGATGGTTTCATTTCTAATCTCAAACAAGATCCTGTGTTCGAGCATTCCTACATACATACACTTTCATTCTGTTTTTTCTTTAGCTATCTTCTCAATGTTTAGTCTTTCCTATCGTAGTTCCTACTACGTTATTTAAACTCTTTTACTATACATCTTTTTTGATGGTATTTCGTCGTGCTAATACATACTCATACCAGGCTCTCCACTGATTGTGATAAACTAGTTCAAAGTGTTTCAAAGAAGTAATCGAGGTATAATATTATCGATATTAAGATTAGAAGTGTTTGTGAAAATTATTCATTCAAAACCCAATGAAGATGCATATAAATACTATTCGATCGTTTATTGTGTTGTAATTCACTAACATTTTAATACAATAGTTAACAAATACAAGTTCAGATCTATTATTTTAATCACATTGTTTATTTTCATTTATCTTGTCAGGTTGGTGATCGAAAATCATTGGACGATGCTACTTTTCCTATACATAGAAATAACAGTGATCCGAATCAATTTACTCAACCATTAACACTAGATAAATCAGAATCTAAAAATTTGATCCGTTCTGTTCCTGCTTCACCATTAATACCACCTCCATCACCTCCTCTTACTCCTCCTACATGTTCTTTACAAGTATTTAATAGAAATGATTTAATTAGACATTCATACCCGGTAAGAATTGATACTAAAGAACAATTTGTTGCACCAGTTTTATTACATTTACAAAAAAGACATAGTGTAACTAATTATATGAGTACACAATCTATGATTAGTTCACTATCAGAGAATAATTCTAATCATCCATCTCAATCAGAAGATCATAATAATTAAATGAAATACATTCAGTATTCTTTCTACTATTCCTTTTATAACAACGAGGATGATCCGAAAACAAATCTGTTTCCTTAATCATTACCAGAGGTATATATATCTTTGTTTATTTAACAAACCATCTTCTATAAAACGTTTGTGTTCTTCTTTTCAATTTGTCTTTGTATCACTTTCTTCAGTAATTATTGATCATTCATTTTCATGTTCATGAACATTATCACCATCATGATGATGATGATGATGATCGCCGTTTGCTTTTTGAGTTTAGATTTCTAGATTTTTCTATTTACTTTTTCATTTGTTATTATTTATGTAAATTTTTTTGTTTGTTTTTTTCTCGTACTTATAGTTTATTCATATGATTTTCTTTCATTTATGCTTATCTATAATTGAATAAAATGATTTATTTTATAATTGATTATAATATAACAGAAGAATGTTTCTTTCTTTGAGTTGAATACTTTTGGGTACTTACTTATTTTAAGCATACCTATGAACTCTCTTCTATGTCACCGTTGTATATATGTTGATTGTGATGACAGTAATGATGATGATGGTTGAATGAATGTACTTATCATAATTAGGAGGGAGAAAAAAAAGAACATTCTGAAATTATATCTGCATTTTGTTCTCTTTGCTTTTGTCTCACTTTTGCACTCTTTATTTGTTTATCTATTATCCTGTTCACAATTTGAATCTAACTTGCTTGTTGCTATTTTGTATATGTAGACGTGGTAATATCATTTATTGTTTATTTAAAGTTTAATTAGGATAATCATAATATTTCAAAGAAAAACTGATAATTTCATTTTGTTTTCTCAAATTTGACATTGTTCGTTTTTTCTAAAGAATAAAACATATGAAGAATAAGGTTGTTCATTTTGGTTTACTTCTTGTCGTTTTCAGTTGATTTTCTTGTTTTCTTTATATATATATCACGTGGTTTATCCACCAATCAAAATACGACTTATACAATCTTAGCACTGTGCCAAAACCAATGACGTTCGACCGGTATGAGCAACCTAGCGTCTTTATTGGTCCTATTTTCGCCTAGCCCGTCCACTTGAGTCCAGAACGTCAATACCAGTTTCCACTATGCGAATCAAATCGTTTATTTCAGACATACTGGGTTTATATATCAAACAAACAGACCGCAACGCACCATAAAATAGGAAATAACATTCATACACAAATAAACCAATAAGTGGCTGTGAACGTGGGAGGCAGTAGTCAATAAACTGAACATAGCTTAAGAACAGTAAATCGTACAATAATAAATTATAGGTCAAAATAAAGCTTATAACAAGAGGAATATAGCCATACATGATCTAGTTACCGAATATTTATACCATGAGAATATATAAGTAATAGTAGTCCATCAATAAGTCTCAGAAGTTACTCGTGATTTAGTCTTCGCTCGGATATAACAATATATATACCAACAAAATAGTAGGTGATATACAGTTCATATGGAGATGTCTTGTTCGGAATCGGGAAAACAATATTTAGGTTTTCTGTCCGAAATTCAATTATATATATGTAAAATTAGCGGTAGAAATACTTTCATAAATATGATATTTAAATATTATTCCTTGACCGTCGTAGAGTGAAAATGGTAATGTTTAGAATAACAATTGCTCAATTGTTTCTATATACACTGTATATGAAGGTTAAATCAACTGGAATTCTAAGGTAAAGCTTGACTCAGTGACCAGTATATGATTGAACTAATCGGATTATTCATCCATATTGCCTACAGAATATTTTCGTAACATCACTAAAACTCCTTAGTGATAAATACTCTGATCAAAGATAATTTGGAGCTCTAAAAATCTATTTCGGTCTTTATAATGATTAAAGAAGGTGGATTATCTAAGTCCATAAGGTCGTATTTACGTGTTGTTCCGAAATACAGACAGAGTAACCTATAAATGGTCTAAATAAATTCGACAATTTTATAGAAACTATTTACACATTTTAGTAATACTGTCTTCTGATCGACTAAGAACTGGCTGAAAATTCGTCGCAGTTTACTTTTAAGTCGTCCATTTACTATACTTTTACTATATAACTTATAAGTAGTAAGAATACTTAGTTCCAAATAGGATACTATTCTGTTTTTCCCCTTTCCCGACTTAGATGCAAACGTTAATAGGAAAATTTATTAGCAAAGAATAATAAGTATTGTTTTAAACAAATAAGAATTATGTATCACTATATTTTTTGAATCTAAAAAGGTGCTACATATTGACATTTTAAAAAAACTATGGATTCATAAGAAATGTGAGTCTTTGGACATGGGTAGATATGTAGGATGACATTAAAAAAAGAATCGAGTTTACCTAAAGGAAACGATGAATAAATGGTCAGTAAGCGTATTCCGTCCATTTAACCAAACAGGGAAGTACGCATCAGCGTTGCTTTTGCCCATTATTTAAAAGTGATTGAATGTTCTTTTTTGTATATATGCTGGTTATAAAATGTGTCTGTGTTTATAACTATAAATTGGAATTCAGTGCTTAAACATCGTATTGTAGAACAGTGACTTAGCGGTTAAAAAGTTAGTTTCAACTAATAGATTGCAAGCTTGATCCCAACTTCATGTATTTTGATTTGGGCGACTGGATGGTAGCACTCTTTTAACTTCGTAATGACAATTTATAAAAGTTAGCATTTTGTACATTATGCATAAATATCTATACGAGTATAGTAAACACTAGTCAGAATTCAATAGTTTTTTATTAATTATTTATTTATTTTAGTAAGTTTTACAATCTTATTCCTGTTATCCCTCGTGGAGAAGTATAGACCACCCACCAGGATTCTCTGCCTGTGACTCTTCTTGATTTAATGCCGGTCCCCAGCCCGGAGAAAGGAGGAGGGTCGGGGACGGAGTCAACAACCCTATCCTGTCCTCTAATTTTTTGATGAGATGAATTTCTGAAATGGTAAAATGTCTTCAATAGGAAATGAAATTAGATCATCTTTCTCTAACGAGGTCTTACTTTTGATATTTAAATAAATAAGTCAACATATAGTACTCTAAAATTTGGAAAACAGTAGTTTTGAAAATAATAACACGAAATTCGTCAGTTTAGATACATGTAATGTTTGTTATGTGACGGATACAAAATAATATACACACTTGAACTTCGACAATAATCACAAGCATTTAAAATCAATGAAAAAGTAGAGTAAATATAGTAATGGGTTCGTTTTAAGACAACATGTAATTCACATGGTCAGACAGAGAGTATTTTAAGTTGACTTTTTATAATTGTAAATAAATAGAACTTTAAGGATGATTAAGTTAATTAACAGAATGATCTGTAGACGTAAGCCTTCATTTGAATTGACAAGAATGCTGTTCAGCAGAATTAGTGTTTTTTGATGAAACTATAATGTTTGGATGACCTTTAAGCAATGCTGAACTAACGTTTGGGATATCCAACTACCTAATAGGGTTAAGTAAGGGTTATAAACAAGTGTAAGGAATTAGGATTAGAATTTACAGTTGATGGTTAGGGTTTGGAATTAGATTTAATGTTTTCATTATGAACTGACATTAGCTCTAATGCCAAAATGGTATTTAACCGAATGAGTGAATGAATTCCGCTCCAAAACTTGTTATCCTAAATCTAATTGATTCATTCGTAAATTAAGGTCTCACCGTTTTTTTTGTTATAAAATAAACATAAGCATATATAAATTATTAACAAATGTACGAGTTAAGAGTTTGTCATTCTCCGAAGTAGAAAGATAATCACTAAGGGTTAAAGTAATCTGTTTCATTTTCACTCAATTTATTTCATCTGAAATACAAAACATTTGTCCATTTTATTACAGTTAGTTGATCTAGTCAAATCTTCACAACGTTTGTACTTCAGCTGAATAACTGATGTAATACAATCTTAATAGTTTCACTTTCTTAAAATAGATTCTTTCGATATAACATATATTGTATCTTCTTCTTCTTGTTATTATTATTATTGTTATTACTATTTACTGATTCTATTCTTGTTTGGCGAGAAATTCGAGTCTACTCCTATTTTCTAACTGATGGCATATAGTTCAACAATAGAATTGTGTTTTTGATGGAGTTTTGTTCTGTGAGCTGGATGGTTTGGTCGTGGAGTGCTGATCATGTCGTTCAGAAAAACGATGAAAGCTCCACGACCAAACCATCCAGCTCACAGAACAAAACTCCATCAAAATTATCCACCTGAGCTACAAATCCCCACCATCTTAGAATTGTGTTTCTATTATTACAGACTGAATTCAGTATTTACTCTATAATACAGAAGTTTTGCTTCTCAATAAATTGTCTCTCATATAATTTTATGTTCTTTTAATGAGGAGAGTGAATAATGATGAAGTTAATGAGTAGTTACTTAGCTCTTTTAGTAATTTATAGAGTTTCGATAATCATTATCGTACTGTCGAACGTCTCAGAATATTTCATATATTTTAAGAGTTTACAGCATAAGATATCCTTGATTTGAAATGACCATTTTTTGTGAGATCATTCAACTCCCCCTCATATATCATCGATTTCTTGTTGATCGACTGGACAAATTCTAACCAGGATTCTTTGGGAATTTTCAAAGAATGGTTGAATGATGTAATAACAGCTATTTCTGTTATTAATGATAAATAGATACAGTTTGTGTGTGTGGAACTTTCACTTGCAGTGAATAAGCTACTTATGCCTGTTACTCTTCATGGAGGAGTATGGAAATGCCATTTTCTAAAAAGAAAATTATTATTTAATGTTATCTACCAAAAAAAAAAGAAAACTAGGTAAATACAAGACAGATTAATAAAATCAGAAGGGGTTTTATGGAGATTGTAGTAATTTCAACAGTTGAGATCATGAGTCAATTGAAGCTAGACCACCATGGAAAACCTGGAAGCACTGGACGACCGTTTCGTCCCATTGTGGGACTCCTCAGCAGTGCGCATCCACGACCCCGCTTCCCGGGATTCGAACCCCTTCTGATACTAATCAACATATGCTCACTAGTGACTGGCTTCAAGAGGTATATCCTGGAGTTCTAGTAAAAAGGAGTGGCCAGTGGAGTTCAGCCGGGTCAGTTGTGAGATGGGAACACACTGATGACAATGGTGGATGTGTCGCACAATTTCGTGAACTAGTTGAAGTTAGACATTACCACTGTTGGATGGCCGCTCAGTGGTCTAGTTGGTTAGGCGCCTGACGCGAGACTGTTGAGTCTCGAATAGTACTAAATGCTCGTTCTGGATACTTCTACTAATCAAACATCGTTTCATCAGTTAAACATGATGTCAAAATTATGTAAACATTTACTTACTCAAGCCGCCCACCAGCACTCGCCATCCAACCCCGTCCTGGCAAATCCTTCCTATTTGTTATTCATTCTTTCCATATCTGCTTCTATTTCCCGACGTAATGTGTTCTTTGGCCTTCCACTTTTCCGTTTCCCTTCAGGATTCTAAGTTAGGGCTTACCTCGCGATACAGTTTGATGATTTCCGTAATGCATGTCCTATTCACTTACAACACCTTTTCCTAATTTCCTCTTCAGCTGGAAGCTGGTTTATTCTTTCCCATAGTAGGCTGTTGCTGATGGTATCCGGTCAATGGATGTTGAATATCTTGCGTAGACAACTATTTATAAATACTTGTACCTTTTTTTGACGATAATTATAGTAGTTTTCTAAGTTTCAGCTCTGTATAGTAGAACTGTCTTAATGTTTCCTATTGTCATTCTTTAATATATTTCCAAAGAAAAAACAACTGATTTTTATTCTCCTCTTTCATTTTATTGAGTTGACCTTATCTGTTCAATTATTAATTGTTGTGTTTTTTTTTTCATAGTTAATTATCATTAC